AATATTGAAAAGGACGAAACGTGAACAAATCGGTTTTAATTAGTTTTTCACTCTGGGTTTGCAAAATTTAAGCATTTCATATGTTGATGCAACGTTAATTGGTTTACATTCTGAATATGGAGATATTAAATTGGTATTGGCACCACAATTTATTATTAAATTGATATTTGAAGCTATATTATTATATTGTCCATCTTGAAGGCCAAATTGCTGAATGGAAATATCACCTAAAATAATTTCAATCTTTTTAAATTCATTTGCTGTTATTTGTTCGTATAATCTATGATATTTTAAGTTGTTTATAATTGTTTCTAATGCTTCATTATTTGATTTTTTATTTCTAACTAAACAATAGATTTTTGAGCAATTTGATCTTTTTAATAAATTCGATAACAAATAAACACCTAAATAACCTGATGTACCAGTTAAAAGGACATTTAAGTCGTTTGCTAAAAGATTGTTAAAATCTATCGAAGTATTTGCCAAATTTTTGACTGTGTTGTTTAATTTAATTTCTTTTTCCCAAAACTCTTTATTGTTATTGTTGCTAATTATCTTTTGATTAGTTTTTTTATTATTATTATTGCCATTTAGAGATTTCGAAATATTTTGAAGTAGTACACCAATTGTAAAAGTTTGTATTTGGGAAATTGTAAATAGGTTTTGAGTGTAGTTTGAATCTATAAAGTTTTTAAGTGAAATTATAACCATAGAGTCTGATCCAAGATCAATTAAACGGCAATCATGATTGATTTTTGATGCTTCAATTGTTAAGAGTTCTGAAATTTTATCAATTACTTTTTGAATTGCTCCTGAGTCTTCACCAGATAGTTGTTTGTTTTTAGATTGAATTGCATTAGAAATAAAATCAATTTTGCTGTTGGCTGGTTTGTTTGCGTAACTATCGATAGAGTCATTGAAAATGTTTACAGAAAGACTGTTGGAGATTTCTTGATTTTGAATAAAAAGATCTAGAGATCCTAATAATAGATTTACAGTAATTGGTGAAAATCCCAAGTTTTCGATAAATCTTGCAATTGAACGTTGTTTTGAAATAAAACCTGCAGTTTCAAAAAGACCCCAAAATGTTGAAATTGCTGGTAAACCTAATGATCTTCTGTGTCTTGCAAGTGCATCTAAAAAGTAATTTGAACTTGTATATCCAACTTGAATTGGTGATCCAAAAATTGCAGTAACTGAGGAAGCTAATATAAATTGTTTTAAATCCCATTGGTTTTCTAATGATAAGTTGTGTAGATTCATTGCTCCAAACGATTTTGCGCTTAATGATGCATATAAATCGTTTTTACTGACTTCTAATGGTTCGTGATTAACATATTGAAAAGCGAAATGGAAAATAGATTCCACTTGACCAATATCTTTATTTTCTAAATAAATTTCTTTAATTGATTGACTGATTGACTCATATTCGCCAATATCACAACTCTTAAATATATATTTGATATTATTCTCTGAACCATTAATGAGTTTTTCAATTTCCCATCTTTTCTTTGATTTTGATAAAATAATTATAGTATCGACAGATGTTGAGCATTTTGAAATCCATTTTAATATTTCTAAGATAAGACCTGTTTGACCAGTCACTAAAACAGTTTTACCTAAACTTTCATGGTTGATTTTATAATCTGGTTTTAAACAGTTGTAGTCTTGATTATTATTTTCTAAAAGAGGAGTTAAAACATCACTATCCATTTTAACTGAGATTTTACCAATAAGTTTTCTCTCGTTCATAAATTCGATTGCTTCTTTGATATTATTAACTGAAATTTCTTTAATTGGTATAAGTTCTAAACTCTGATTTGAAAAACCATCATATAATTCTTTTAATAGCATTCTAAATAATTTGTTATGTAGTTTTGATATCTCCACAGCATGGTAACCAATATTGTATTTGAATTTGTTAAAATCGGTGTATTCGTTTGCATTTAAATGTGTTACCGAAACATCTACAATTCTACCGCCTTTACATAAACATTTAAAGTTTGCATCCATAAATTCATTTGAAAATGTGTTTAAAATTAAATCTACACCATCTTTTTGAGAGCCAAGTTGTTTTAGTTTCTGTTTGATTTCTTTTACATAGTTAATATTTCTTGTGGAGTAAATACCTGTAATTAATGATCCATAATGTTCTCTTAGATAATCTTCTTTTTCTTTTGAACCAACAGTAACAAACAAGTGTGATTTAAATCCTTTCCATTTTAAAATATTGAGTGCAGATAAACCGACACCACCTGTACCAGTATGTATTAAAACACTTTCTTTTTCTTCTATATTTAAATTACCAATATAAAAAAGAGAGTAAAGTGAGGTCATGTAAACAATAGGTATGATTGAAGCTTCAACAAAACTAATATTGTTTGGTTTGATGAAAATATTATTTTTGTGAGGATAAACATGAGTAGAGGATGCAGATGTTGAAATGCCAAATACTTGATCACCAATTTTATATTCTGTAACATTATCACCAATTCTTGTAATAATACCTGAAAAATCCAAACCAAATTCTGGATCACTAATATCTCCTTTTGAATTAATAAGTTCTGCTGGAACTAAACCACGATAAATTAAGTTATCTTTGAAATTGATACCAATTGCTTCAGTTTTAACCTCTACATAGTCTGGGTTTAGTACTTTTTTTGGGGCTAATTTGTATTGAAGATTTGGATCAAGTTTTGCTAATAATCCATTGTTTTCTTGATACGATGTCGATTTAAATTTAGTTTTTAAATTTGATTCTTTTTTAATTCTTTCGAAATATGGAATGTTTTTTCTAATTAAATATTCAGAATGTTGGTATGTGCTTGTTAAACATTCAATATTTTCGATTACATTGTTTGAAAGTAATGATTCATTATCAAAGTCAATTGAAAATAGTCTGAGATCAATAAATTCTTCGAAATAACGTCTTGCACCGATTACAGCTGAACATGTATAGTTGAGTGCTTCTTTTTGGCAATATGTAGAAACTATTATGTGTTTTGTTGATAATTTATTTTTTAATAGATGTTGATTAATATTAACATAGTCCAATGTAACTCTGGCAATATCCTTTTGATTTTTAATTTGATTAATGGTTGTAATGAAATAAATCAATGAGTTATCTGTGATTTCTGACGAGTATAAATTAAATTCATCTATATTTGAAAAAACTAAAACGTTATTATTATATGATTTTTGAAGAATGTTAATAAACTTATTTGATTCAGATGAACCACTTTCACCAAAAATAAAAATATTATCATATATTGGAATTGAGTTATTATTTGATAAAACTGATGGTTTTTGTGAAATTGTAATTGGATTGATAAATTTATTAAACTCAAAACCAATTTCATTTAATTTTTCGTCATTTTGATTACTGTTATGAATTAAATATCCTTTTGGATTTAAAATGTTGAATATTTCAGTGTCTTTGATTAGTTTTGATGTTGTTTGTAATTGTTTTGGTAAAATTATAATATCATAGTAGTTGCATTTTAATTGTTGTTTTTCAATTAATGCTTGATTTAAATTAATTTCTTTTAATAATAAACTTCCATTAAATGATGGTAGTTGTGATTTGATATCTTTAATCTCTTGGTTAGATTCAAAACCGATTGAAAACTCTATATCAATTTCTGAATTGTTTGATAGTGTTGTGTTGATCAAATTGATGATATTTGTTGATAGTTCATAGTTATTTGATATTTGAAGTATTCTGAATATTGCTTTTTCATTTTTAATTGGTATAATTGAATTTTCAATGATTGTTAGAATATTGTTGTCATAATCTGGATTATTGAATGATAAGTTATTGAGTGTTGATTTTTGGACTAATGAATCACGTTCTTGCCAATACATTGAAAATAGTTCATTATTTGGATTTTGGATTTGCAATGGATCTCTAATTGGTATTAATGATGTACATACAACTTTATCTGCTTCAATGATAACAGTACCATCATCTAACATAATTTTGAGTGATGAAGTTAAAGATTCTCCAAATTTACCTAAAAACTCTGAATAACAATAGATATGTGTATGATTTGAAATATCACTTGGAATATTTGTGGAATAGACTTTATAGTCTTCGACTCTATCCAATACAATTTGACATGGATCTTCGATATATGATAGGAAACCATGAAGTGTTGTATCAATAATTGATGGATCGAGGAATGACTTTTTAAAACTTGTAATTGATGGATTTAATGATATCTTTGAAAATGTGCATCCATCGCCTTGATAACATTCTTCAACTCTCTTGAAATGATTTAAGTATGATAATCCGGTTTTAGATTTGATGTGTGTGTATAATTCATCTTTTGAAAGTTTTGTGTTGCCACATTTTAATTTTAATTTCTCAAAATTAAGTTTTTCAATTGGTGTTTCAAAATTGAAAACATGAATTTTACCAAGAGATGTTTCTACCCATTCATTGTTGTCTTTGAAGCTAAAGCTAACTTTGTATTCGTTTCTTGAGGTTTTTGTTATTGATGTTTGTAAGTGTTTGACTTCTTTTTCTTTTAAGATTAAAGGTGTCTTGAATTCTAAATATGGTATAATAAAATCTTTAGAGTTGAAGATTGATACAAGGTTATCAATATATCCGCAACCTGGGAAGTAATATTTATCTTTTACAACGTGTCCTTTTAAATATTCAAATGGTGGTCTAGTGATATCTATAAATGATTCGTAGATAGTTTGATTTGAGTTGATGGAGAACCCTTTTTGATCAATTGATGGTCCTTCAGTTCTGGCTTTTATAGATCTGACACTTTCTGACCAATATTGATTATTATCCCATCGATATCTTGGTAGTATAGATGTATTTGATATTACTGATGGTAGATAAATATCTTCATTTATAAACTGTGATTTAAAATTGACATTATAGCCTTTGCAAAATAGTTGTGAAATTGTGTTTTGAATTTCTTGAGTATCATCTTTGGTTTTATTTAATGAGTTTATTACTGAAATTGAATCTTCATTAAAATAGCTTGATTCTTTTGGTATCATTTGTTTGATATAATATGATAAAGTTGGATGTGGTGAAATCTCTAAAAATATTGCTCTATTGTTTTTATTTTGAGTTTCAATATGATTGAATATATTTTCAATTGCTTTACTAAACATTACTGGTTCTCTAATATTTGAATAGATATATTGTGAAGCAGGAGGTTCAATTTCATTATCACCAAATAGTTCACCTGTTACTGTTGAAAATGTTGGAATAGTTGGTTTGTTATATTTAATTTGTTTTAATGAATAAACAAGATCCTTTATACTTTCTTGAGCTGATGAATGGAATGCTATTTGTGCACCAAGGAATGCTGAGAATATACCGTCTGATTTTGATTCGTTAAAAATTTCAATTAGTTTGGTTTCATTACCTCCGACAACAATAGACGATGGTGAGTTATAACAACAAATTGTAATATCTGGATATCCAGATGAATATTTTTGATTGAATTGTTCTTCACTGATATTAATTACAAGCATTCTTGAATTTAAAGATTTATCTTGATTATTTGTTACTGTTAAACTTTGTAATCTTGCTCTTTGGTAAACCAAATAACATACATCATCTAAGTCAAGCATACCAGAACAATAGGTTGAAGTTAACTCACCAAAAGAGTGACCAACGATAATAGATGGTTTAATTCCCCAATGTTTATATAGTTCTATTAATGAAAATTGAACGATAAATAATGATGTTTGAGCTATTAATGGATCGTTAATTGATTTCTTATCTGTGGGGTCGATTGATCTAAGTTTTTCTAAAATATTGAATCCAGCATGGTTGCTCAACTTTTCATTTATCATATCCATTGATTTTCTAAATATTGTATTGTTTTCATATAGTTTGAGTGCCATGCTGGTGTATTGAGCGCCTTGACCACACATTACAAAAATAATTTCTGGATTTGAGTGTTTGTGTAAAATATTGTATGATTTATTACTTGAGGTTTTGATTTGATTTTTAAAGTTATCATTGAAACTATTCCAATCTTTGGCACTGATAACTGATCTTTGTAAAAAGTTTGGTGATTTACAAAATACTTGATGTTTAATGAAATCGTTAAATTCAATTTTGTTTGAATAGTTGGATATATTATTTAAAATTTTTGATTTGTAGTCTTCTAATGATGTTTTTGAATTTGCAGAAAATGGAATTAAATAGTTTATTTCATTTTTTGATTTTTGAGACGTTTGTAGTTGTGATTGTTGATTATATTCTTTTAAGATTATACAAACATTTGAACCTGTTGCGCCGAAATTATTTACACCGATTGTTACTAATTTGTTTTTTGGGAATGGAGTTAGGTCTGTCACAACTTTCATATTCCATTCATTAAACTTTATATTTGGATTTGGGTTATTAAAGTGAATGTTTGGTGCAAATTGACGATGCTTGAACATTAAGCAGCATTTAATGATTGATGCAACACCTGATGCAGGTTCTAAATGACCAATGTTGGACTTTACTGAACCAATTAATAATGGAGAGTTGTTTGAACGATGATCTTTTAATGACATTGATATTGCTTCAGTTTCTATTGGATCACCTGTTGGAGTACCAGTACCATGACACTCAAAGTAGTCAATATCACTTGGATGGGTTTTACTGTCTAATAATAATTTTTCAAGATTTGCATGTTGTGCATATTTTGATGGTGCGAAAAATGTTGTTTTGTTGAAAGTACCATCTGCATTAGAGTTTGCACCTTTGATAACGCAGTATATATTGTTGCCATCTTTGATTGCATTTGATAATTTTTTTAATACAAGTACACCACAACCTTCTGCACGTACAAACCCATCTGCAGCAGCATCAAATGTTTTGCAATACCCCCCGGCACCTGCCATGTTTAGATATGTTACAGCTTTTGTATATAGAGTATCTTTTTTAAAAAAAATGGTAATACAGAGTTAGTATTGGTTACATTGATTAATAGGGTATTTAAATTATAATAAAATATAATAATTACCTAGCATTAAATTGGAACCACCGACAATTGAATATTCAGAGTCTCTATTGATAATGGATTTATAACCAAGATGTATTGCATTTGAAGAGCTTGAGCAGGCAGTATCTAAAGTTAAAGATTGACCACGAAAATCGAAACAGTATGAAATACGATTTGACATTGTATGTAAACTACTATTTAAAGAATTAATACTATTATCTTTTTCAGTATAAGCTGTCATTTTATAGTCTGAAGTAGTGGCACCGATATATACACTAGTGTTGGTACCTCTCATTCCTTGTATTGGGTCAAGACCGGCATCTTCCAATGCTTCGAATGTTGATTTGAGTAACAGTCTTTGTTGTGGATCAGTTATTCCCAACTCATTTGGAGCAATACCGAATAATAATGGATCAAATGATTTCCATTCATCAATTGATACCAATCCAGCATTTTTACTTTTTATCTCTCCTGTATAAACATGATTTTCGCTCCATCTTTGATATGCTTCTGTAGCGTCAACAATACCATTGAATTTATTTTTTAAATTTTCCCAAAATTGGTAAGGTGTATTAGAATTACCTGGTAAACGAAATCCAACACCAATAATTGCTACATCATCAATATTATTATATATTTTATAGCTATCCATTTTTAAAAAAATCTTTTATTTAGTTCTATATTCTAATGTTTAATAACTATTTAGATAATTTTTTAAAAAACAAAAATATTGAAAAAAAATTGCAGAAAAAAAAACAAAAAAAAAAAATTTTATAAAAGATAAACCATTTAAATGGTTTAATAAAATTTTATATTATATATATTGATTTTATTGGTTGTAGCTATACAGAATAATAAACAATTAAATATAATTATAATTTAGTTTATATAAAAAAAATAGTTTTAAAGTTTTTAAATAGATGGGTTTTTATAAGATATATTGTAGGGATGAATTACTTTGCTAATTTTAAAAAAAATAAATAAAAAGTATTATGGAGATTTATAAGTGTTAATATGTATTTATTAAATTATTTGCAATATAAAAAAAGGGTTTAAATCTTAGATTTAAATTTTTTTTGTGCGAATTTGTAAAAAAAAAAAAATTAAAAAAATTTTTAATTAAAAAATTATAATTATTAAAATTAAAAATATTTATTTAATATTAACTTTTATTTATATTTGTAATTTTTGGCCTCTTTTTGAACTCCATTTTAAAAATACTTTTTATAGATTATTCTTTTTTTTTTAATAATGTATGTTGATAATTATATAAAATAAAATATTATAATAATTTTGTGAAGAATTTTTAATTTATTTCTTATACATTAAAAGTTTATCAAGTAGGAATTCATATAGTGGAGGGTGGATGGTTTTTTATATTTATATGTCGTTTTTATAATCTATATGTGGTTTCCACAATACAAAATTGTCCAATAAGAAAATGAAATGAATCTAACTCCAAAGTTTTCATCATGACTAAATTATATTTTAAATTAATTTAAATAAAATAAAATAAAATAAAAATGATAATAAAATAAATGAATATATGTTTTTTATTTGTTTTTTTATATGTTATAGTTTTTTACTTTTATAAGTTTCTAGTTTTTATCTCTGTTGTTATAAATATTAAGAGATCAATAAAGTTTTATTTGAAATGAAAGTCAATATGTTTTTTTATCATACTGATTGTAACAAATGAATCATTGTATTTTGAATTCATTGATTCTAATAATTTGATTGTTGAACTGGTTGCTTTTAGATTTGGGGTGAAAAGGGATTTGTGTGGGTCTAAAATTAATATTTTATTACATGATTCATTCTTTGATTCAATTAATATTGATCTCCAATCGATGTAGTCTAGTTTTTGTATATTATATTCTTTTGAAAGTTGTTCTAATACATCGCTGATTTTAAATGTGTCACTGATTAAGTTGTACGATTTGGATGAGTTGTTTTCCCAACAGTTTGTATTTAATATCATTTTGCATACATTATCTGATATCCAAGTAATTGGTGCTAAATTAGTAAGATTTTTAAATTGATCTGGATATATTTTAAATTTGTAGCATTGTTGAATAAATAGTTGTACAAAGTCATTTTTATTTCCGATACCAGTGTATGGATTTGCAAATATAAATGGTAATCTTAATACAATTGATGGTATTCCTCTGTTTGAAGCTTCTCTGACTAAATATTCTGAAACGATTTTAGATTGACCATAACCGTTTTCACTTTGTTCAATTTGGTCGACTGATGGTATGAATGAGTCTTCAAATTCTTCTCTTTGAATATTTGTGAATATTGAAAATGATGAAATGTGAACAATTGGTTTAATTAGTTTTTCATTGTGGTTTGCAAATTTAAGCATTTCATATGTTGATGCAACGTTAATTGGTTTACATTCTGAATATGGAGATATTAAATTGGTATAGGCACCGCAATTTATTATTAAGTTAATATTTGAAGCTATATTATTATATTGTTCATCTTGAAGGCCAAATTTCTGAATGGAAATATCACCTAAAACAATTTCAATCTTTTTAAATTCATTTTCTGTTATTTGTTCGTATAATCTATGATATTTTAAGTTGTTTATAATTGTTTCTAATGCTTCATTATTTGATTTTTTATTTCTAACTAAACAATAGATTTTTGAGCAATTTGATCTTTTTAATAAATTCGATAACAAATAAACACCTAAATAACCTGATGTACCAGTTAAAAGGACATTTAAGTCATTTGCTAAAAGTTTGTTAAAATCTATTGAAGTATTTGCCAAATTTTTGACTGTGTTGTTTAATTTGATTTCTTTTTCCCAAAACTCTTTATTGTTATTGTTGCTAATTATCTTTTGATTATTTGGTTTTACATTATTGGTTTTTTTATTTTTATGATTATCATTATTGCCATTTACAGATTTCGAAATATTTTGGATTATCCTATTAATTGTTAGGGTTTGCAATTGTGAAATTGTAAATAGGTTTTGAGTGTAGTTTGAATCTATAAAGTTTTTAAGTGAAATTATAACCATAGAGTCTGATCCAAGATCAATTAAACGGCAATCATGATTGATTTTTGATGCTTCAATAGTCAAGAGTTCTGAAATTTTATCAATTACTTTTTGAGTTGCTCCTGAGTCTTCACCAGATAGTTGTTTGTTTTTAGATTGAATTGCATTAGAAATAAAATCAATTTTGCTGTTGGCTGGTTTGTTTGCGTAACTATCGATAGAGTCATTGAAAATGTTTATAGAAAGACTGTTGGAGATTTCTTGATTTTGAATAAAAAGATCTAGAGATCCTAATAATAGATTTACAGTAATTGGTGTAAAACCCATGTTTTCGATAAATCTTGCAATTGAACGTTGTTTAGAAATGAAACCTGCAGTTTCGAAAAGGCCCCAAAATGTTGAAATTGCTGGTAAACCTAATGATCTTCTGTGTCTTGCAAGTGCATCTAAAAAGTAATTTGAACTTGTATATCCAACTTGAATTGGTGATCCAAAAATTGCAGTAACTGAAGAAGCTAATATAAATTGTTTTAATTCCCATTGTTTCTCTAATGATAAGTTGTGTAGATTCATTGCTCCAAACGATTTTGCGCTTAATGATGCATATAAATCATTTTTACCGACTTCTAATGGTTCGTGGTTAACATATTGAAAAGCGAAATGGAAAATAGATTCCACTTGACCAATATCTTTATTTTCTAAATAAATTTCTTTTATTGATTGACTGATTGATTCATATTCGCCAATATCACAACTCTTAAATATATATTTGATATTATTCTTTGAACCATTAATGAGTTTTTCAATTTCCCATCTTTTCTTTGATTTTGATAAAATAATTATGGTTTCGACAGATGTTGAGCATTTTGAAATCCATTTTAATATTTCTAAGATAAGACCTGTTTGACCAGTAACTAAAACAGTTTTACCTAAACTTTCATGGTTAATTTTATAATCTGGTTTTAAAAAGTTGTAGTCTTGAGTATAATTTTCTAAAAGTGGAGTTAAAACATCACTATCCATTTTAACTGAGATTTTACCAATAAGTTTTCTCTCGTTCATAAATTCGATTGCTTCTTTGATATTATTAGCTGAAAATACATTAATTGGTATAAGTTCTAAACCTTGGGTTGAAAAACCATCATATAATTTCTTTAAAAGCATTTTATATATTTCATTAGGTAATTTTAATAACTCCACAGCATGATAACCAATATTGTATTTGAATTTGTTAAAATCGGTGTATTCGTGTGGATTTAAATGTGTTGTTGAAACATCTACAATTCTACCTCCTTTACATAAACATTTAAAGTTTGCATCCATAAATTCATTTGAAAATGTGTTTAAAATTAAATCTACACCATCTTTTTGAGAGCCAAGTTGTTTTAGTTTTTGTTTGATTTCTTTTACATAGTTAATATTTCTTGTGGAGTAAATACCTGTAATTAATGATCCATAATGTTCTCTTAGATAATCTTCTTTTTCTTTTGAACCAACAGTAACAAACAAGTGTGATTTAAATCCTTTCCATTTTAAAATATTGAGTGCAGATAAACCGACACCACCTGTACCAGTATGTATTAAAACACTTTCTTTTTCTTCAATATTTAAATTACCAATATTAAAAAGGCAGTAAAGAGAGGTCATGTAAACAATAGGTATGATTGAAGCTTCAACAAAACTAATATTGTTTGGTTTGATGAAAATATTATTTTTGTGAAGATAAATATGAGTAGAGGCTGCAGATGTTGAAAGGCCGAATACTTGATCACCAATTTTATATTCTGTAACATTATCACCAATTCTTGTAATAATACCTGAAAATTCGAAACCAAATTCTGGATCACCAATATCTCCTTTTGAATTAATAAGTTCTGCTGGAACTAAACCACGATAAATTAAGTTATCTTTGAAGTTGATACCAATTGCTTCAGTTTTAACCTCTACATAGTCCGGGTTTAGCACTTTTTTTGGGGCTAATTTGTATTGAAGATTTGGATCAAGTTTTGCTAATAATCCATTGTTTTCTTTATACGATGTTGATTTAAATTTAGTTTTTAAATTTGATTCTTTTTTAATTCTTTCAAAATATGGAATGTTTTTTCTAATTAAATATTCAGAATGTTGATATGTGCTTGTTAAACATTCAATATTTTCGATTACATTGTTTGAAAGTAATGATTCATTATCAAAGTCAATTGAAAATAGTCTGAGATCAATAAATTCTTCGAAATAACGTCTTGCACCTATTACAGCTGAACATGTATAGTTGAGTGCTTCTTTTTGACAATATGTAGAAACTATTATGTGTTTTGTTGATAGTTTATTTTTTAATAGATGTTGATTAATATTAACATAGTCCAATGTAACTCTGGCAATATCATTTTGATTTTTAATTTGATTAATGGTTGTAATAAAATAAATTAATGAGTTATCTGTTATTTCTGACGAGTGTAAATTAAATTCATCTATATTTGAAATAACTAAAACGTTATTATTATATGATTTTTGAAGAATGTTAATAAACTTATTTGATTCAGATGAACCACTTTCACCAAAAATAAAAATATTATCATATATTGGAATTGAGTTATTATTTGATAAAACTGATGGTTTTTGTGAAATTGTAATTGGATTGATAAAGTTATTAAACTCAAAACCAATTTCATTTAATTCTTCGTCACTTTGACTACTGTTATGAATTAAATATCCTTTTGGGTTTAAAATGTTGAATATTTCAGTGTCTTTGATTAGTTTTGATGTTGTTTGTAATTGTTTTGGTAAAATTATAATATCATAGTAGTTGAATTTTAATTGTTGTTTTTCAATTAATGCTTGATATAAATTAATTTCTTTTAATAATAAACTTCCATTAAATGATGGTAGTTGTGATTTGATATCTTTAATCTCTTGGTTCGATTCTAAACCGATTGAAAACTCTATATCAATTTCTGAATTATTTGATAGTGTTGTGTTAATCAAGTTGATGATATCTGTTGATAGTTCATAGTTATTTGATATTTGAAGTATTCTGAATATTGCTTTTTCATTTTTAATTGGTATAATTGAATTTTCAATGATTGTTAGAATATTGTTGTCATAATCTGGATTATTGAATGATAAGTTATTGAGTGTTGATTTTTGTACTAATGAATCACGTTCTTGCCAATACATTGAAAATAGTTCATTATTTGGATTTTGGATTTGCAATGGATCTCTAATTGGTATTAATGATGTACATACAACTTTATCTGCTTCAATGATAACAGTACCATCATTTAACATTATTTTGAGTGACGAAGTTAAAGATTCTCCAAATTTACCTAAATACTCTGAATAACAATAGATATGTGTATGATTTGAAATATCACTTGGAATATTTGTGGAATAGACTTTATAGTCTTCGACTCTATCAAATACAATTTGACATGGATCTTCGATATATGATAGGAAACCATGAAGTGTTGTATCAATAATTGATGGATCGAGGAATGACTTTTTAAAACTTGTAATTGATGGATTTAATGATATCTTTGAAAATGTGCATCCATCACCTTGATAACATTCTTCAACTCTCTTGAAATGATTTAAGTATGATAATCCGGTTTTAGATTTGATGTGTGTGTATAGTTCATCTTTTGAAAGTTTTGTGTTGCCACATTTTAATTTTAATTTCTCAAAATTAAGTTTTTCAATTGGTGTTTCAAAATTGAAAACATGAATTTTACCAAGAGATGTTTCTACCCATTCATTGTTGTCTTTGAAGCTAAAGCTAACTTTGTATTCGTTTCTTGAGGTTTTTGTTATTGATGTTTGTAAATGTTTGACTTCTTTTTCTTTTAAGATTAAAGGTGTCTTGAATTCTAAATATGGTATAATAAAATCTTTAGAGTTGAAAATTGATATAAGGTTATCAATATATCCGCAACCTGGGAAATAATATTTATCTTTTACAACGTGTCCTTTTAAATATTCAAATGGTGGTCTATTGATATCTATAAATGATTCGTAGATAGTTTGATGTGAGTTGATGGAGAATCCTTTTTGATCAATTGATGGTCCTTCAGTCCTGGCTTTTATAGATCTATCACTTTCTGACCAATATTGATTATTATCCCATTGATATCTTGGTAGGATAGATGTATTTGATATTACTGATGGTAAATAAATATCTTCATTTATAAACTGTGATTTAAAATTGACATTGTAGCCTTTGCAATATAGTTGTGAAATTGTGTTTTGAATTTCTTGAGTATCATATTTGGTTTTATTTAATGAGTTTATTACTGAAATTGAATCTTCATTAAAATAGCTTGATTCTTTTGGTATCATTTGTTTGATATAATATGATAAAGTTGGATGTGGTGAAATCTCTAAAAATATTGCTCTATTGTTTTTATTTTGAGTTTCAATATGATTGAATATACTTTCAATGGCTTTACTAAACATTACTGGTTCTCTAATATTTGAATAGATATAATGTGAAACTGGAGGTTCAATTTCATTATCACCAAATAGTTCACCTGTTACGGTTGAAAATGTTGGAATTGTTGGTTTGTTATATTTAATTTGTTTTAATGAATAAACAAGATCCTTTATACTTTCTTGAGCTGATGAATGGAATGCTGTTTGTACACCAAGGAATGCTGAGAATATACCGTTTGATTTTGATTCGTTAAAAATTTCAATTAGTTTGGTTTCATTACCTCCGACTACAATCGATGATGGTGAGTTATAACAACATATTGTAATATCTGGATATCTAGATGAATATTTTTGATTGAATTGTTCTTCACTGATATTAATTACAAGCATTCTTGAATTTAAAGATTTATCTTGATTATTTGTTACTGTTAAACTTTGTAATCTTGCTCTTTGGTAAACCAAATAACATACATCATCTAAGTCAAGCATACCAGAACAATAGGTTGAAGTTAACTCACCAAAAGAGTGACCAACGATAATAGATGGTTTAATTCCCCAATGTTTATATAGTTCTATTAATGAAAATTGAACGATAAATAATGATGTTTGGGTAATTAATGGATCGTTAATTGATTTCTTATCTGTGGGGTCGATTGATCTTAGTTTTTCTAAAATATTGAATCCAGCATGGTTGCTCAACTTTTCATTTATCATATCCATTGATTTTCTAAATATTGTATTGTTTTCATATAGTTTGAGTGACATGCTGGTATATTGAGGGCCTTGACCACACATTACAAAAATAATTTCTGGATTTGAGTGTTTATGTAAAATATTGTATGATTTATTACTTGAGGTTTTGATTTGATTTTTAAAGTTATCATTGAAACTATTCCAATCTTTGGCACTGATAACTGATCTTTGTAAAAAGTTTGGTGATTTACAAAATACTTGATGTTTAATGAAATCGTCAAATTCAATTTTGTTTGAATAGTTGGATATATTATTTAAAATTTTTGATTTGTAGTCTTCTAATGATGTTTTTGAATTTGCAGAAAATGGAATTAAATAGTTTATTTCATTTTTTGATTTTTGAGACGTTTGTAGTTGTGATTGTTGATTATATTCTTTTAAGATTATACAAACATTTGAACCTGTTGCGCCGAAATTATTTACACCGATTGTTACTAATTTGTTTTTTGGGAATGGAGTTAGGTCTGTCACAACTTTCATATTCCATTCATTAAACTTTATATTTGGATTTGGGTTATTAAAGTGAATGTTTGGTGCAAATTGACGATGTTTGAACATTAAGCAGCATTTAATGACTGATGCAACACCTGATGCAGGTTCTAAATGACCAATGTTGGATTTTACTGAACCAATTAATAATGGAGAGTTGTTTGAACGATGATCTTTTAATGACATTGATATTGCTTCAGTTTCTATTGGATCACCTGTTGGAGTACCAGTGCCATGACACTCAAAGTAGTCAATATCACTTGGATTGGTTTTACTGTCTAATAATACTTTTTCAAGATTTGCATGTTGTGCATATTTTGATGGTGCGAAAAATGTTGTTTTGTTGAAAGTACCATCTGCATTAGAGTTAACACCTTTGATAACGCAGTATATATTGTTGCCATCTTTTATGGCATTTGATAATTTTTTTAATACAAGTATACCACTGCCTTCTGCACGTACGAACCCATCTGCAACAGAGTCAAATGATTTGCAATATCCCCCGGCACCTGTCATGTTTAGATATGATACAGCTTTGGTGTATTGTGTATCTTTTATAAAAATGGTAATACAGAGTTAGTATTTTTAAAATGATTAATAGGGTATTAAAATAATAATAAAATATTATAATTACCTAATATTAAATTGGAACCACCGACAATTGAATATTCAGAGTCTCCATTGATAATGGATTTATAACCAAGTTGGATTGCATTTGAAGAGCTTGAGCAGGCAGTATCTAAAGTTAAAGATTGACCACGAAAATCGAAACAGTATGAAATACGATTTGACATTGTATGTAAATTAGTATTTAAAGAATTGATACTATTATCTTTTTCAGTATAAGATGACATTTTATAGTCTGAAGTAGTGGCACCGATGTACACACTAGTGTTGGTACCTCTCATTCCTTGTAATGGGTCAAGACCGGCATCTTCTAATGCTTCAAATGTTGATTTGAGTAACAGTCTTTGTTGTGGATCCGTAATTCCCAACTCATTTGGGGCAATACTGAATAATAATGGGTCAAATGATTTCCATTCATCAATTGATACCAATCCAGCATTTTTACTTTTTATTTCTCCTGAATAAAAATGATTTTCGCCCCATCTTTGATATTCTTTTGTAGCGTCAACAATACCATTGAATTTATTTTTTAAATTTTCCCAAAACTGGTCAGGTGTATTAGAATTACCTGGTAAACGAAATCCAACACCAATAATTGCAACATCTTCACTATTATTATATTTATTATCGTTATCCATTTTTAATAAAAAATCTTAAATTTAGTTCTATACTCTAATATTAAATAACTGTTTGATTAATTTCTTTAAAAATATTTAAACAATTGTTGGAATAATAAAAGAGAAAAAATAAATATTGATTAATTATATATAAATATACATAATAAAAGAATATTAATTGGTTTAGCTATAACAACCTAAAATAGTTTTAATGCTTTTGAATAGATGGGCTATTATTTAAAACATGATAATAAAAAAACAATTATGAATTACAGATGGATTTATAATTACATATCTATGTATGTATATTTTTTTAATTATTAATATTAAAAAATCGGTGTAGAAATCCCTAGATTAATTAATATAATTGTGTATATGTGTTAAAAAAAAAAATTTAATTAAAAAAAATAAAAAAAAAGGGGGGTGGAAATCTTTAGATTAAAAATTAAGATAAAAAAAAAATATAATTATTAAAATTTAATAATAATTATTATTTTAATTAATATATATTTGTAATTAAAGGACTTCTTTAATTTATAAAGGCCGGAATTCCACCCTTTTTAAAAAATACTTTTAAAGGTTATTGGTTCTTTTTTTACTTATAAACTGTAAATTTTCTATATTTTTTATAAAAAATTTAAATTAAAAATTAATTTACTTTATAATTAAAAATAATAAAATAAAATAAAAAAAGTAAATAATATAAATTATGAATTAATAAATCTTTGATCATAGGGTTTCTACATAATAATTAATTTTTAACAATTTAAAAGTATAAATAGTTCAATTTAAATTATTATCAATTATAAGTTAAAAAAATTGATAAAAATTTAAATTTATATCAACCCTAAAGCTTGAAAAAAAACTTTTAGTTTATCAATAATATAATTTAAAAAAATAAAAAAAAATAAATAAAAAAATAAATAAAAAAGATAAAATAAATGAATTTAAGTTTTTATTTGTTTTTTTATATGTTTCTAGTTTTTATCTTTGTTGTAATAAATATTAAAAGATCAATAAAGTTTTATTTGAAATGAAAGTCTATATGTTTTTTTATCATATTGATTGTAACAAATGAATCATTGTAGTTTGAATTCATTGATTCTAATAATTTGATAGTTGAACTAGTTGCTTTTAGATTTGGTGTGAAAAGGGATTTATGAGGGTCTAAAATTAATATTTTATTACATGATTCATTGTTTGATTCAATTAATCTTGATTTCCAATCATTATAGTCTAGTTTTTGTAAATTAAATTCTTTTGAAAGTTGTTCTAATACATCACTGATTTTGAATGTGTCACTGATTAAGTTGTAAGATTTGGATGAGTTGTTTTCCCAACAGTTTGCATTTAAGATCATTTTGCATACATTATCTGATATCCAAGTAATTGGTGCTAAATTTGAAAGATTTTTAAATTGATCTGGATATATTTTAAATTTGTAGCATTGTTGAATAAATAGTTGTACAAAGTCATTTTTATTTCCGATACCAGTGTATGGATTTGCAAATATAAATGGTAATCTTAATACAATTGATGGTATTCCTCTGTTTGAAGCCTCTCTGACTAAATATTCTGAAACGATTTTGGATTGACCATAACCGTTTTCACTTTGTTCAATTTGGTCGACTGATGGTAAGAATGAGTCTTCAAATTCTTCTCTTTGAATATTTGTGAATATTGAAAATGATGAAATGTGAACAATTGGTTTAATTAGTTTTTCATTGTGGTTTGCAAATTTAAGCATTTCATATGTTGAAGCAACGTTAATTGGTTTACATTCTGAATATGGAGATATTAAATTGGTATTGGCACCACAATTTATTATTAAGTTGATATTCGAAGCTATATTATTATATTGTTCATCTTGAAGGCCAAATTGCTGAATGGAAATATCACCTAAAATAATTTCAATCTTTTTAAATTCATTTTCTGTTATTTGTTCATATAATCTATGATATTTTAAGTTGTTTATAATTGTTTCTAATGCTTCATTATTTGATTTTTTATTTCTAACTAAACAATAGATTTTTGAGCAATTTGATCTTTTTAATAAATTCGATAACAAATAAACACCTAAATAACCTGATGTACCAGTTAAAAGGACGTTTAAGTCATTTGCTAAAAGTTTGTTAAAATCTATTGAAGTATTTGCCAAATTTTTGACTGTGTTGTTTAATTTAATTTCTTTTTCCCAAAACTCTTTATTGTTATTGTTGCTAATTATCTTTTGATTATTTGGTTTTACATTATTGGTTTTTTTATTTTTATGATTATCATTATTGCCATTTACAGATTTCGAAATATTTTGGATTATCCTATTAATTGTTAGGGTTTGCAATTGTGAAATTGTAAATAGGTTTTGAGTGTAGTTTGAATCTATAAAGTTTTTAAGTGAAATTATAACCATAGAGTCTGATCCAAGATCAATTAAACGGCAATCATGATTGATTTTTGATGCTTCAATTGTTAAGAGTTCTGAAATTTTATCAATTACTTTTTGAGTTGCTCCTGAGTCTTCACCAGATAGTTGTTTGTTTTTAGATTGAATTGCATTAGAAATAAAATCAATTTTGCTGTTGGCTGGTTTGTTTGCGTAACTATCGATAGAGTCATTGAAAATGTTTACGGAAAGACTGTTGGAGATTTCTTGATTTTGAATAAAAAGATCTAGAGATCCTAATAATAGATTTACAGTAATTGGTGAAAATCCCATGTTTTCAATAAATCTTGCAATTGAACGTTGTTTTGATACAAAACCTGCAGTTTCGAAAAGACCCCAAAATGTTGAAGTTGCTGGTAAACCTAATGACCTTCTGTGTCTTGCAAGTGCATCTAAAAAGTAATTTGAACTTGTATATCCAACTTGAATTGGAGATCCAAAAACTGCAGTAACTGAAGAAGCTAATATAAATTGTTTTAATTCCCATTGTTTGTCTAATGATAAGTTGTGTAGATTCATTGCTCCAAACGATTTTGCGCTTAATGATGCATATAAATCATTTTTACCGACTTCTAATGGTTCGTGGTTAACATATTGAAAAGCGAAATGGAAAATAGATTCCACTTGACCAATATCTTTATTTTCTAAATAAATTTCTTTAATTGATTGACTGATTGACTCATATTCGCCAATATCACAACTCTTAAATATATATTTGATATTATTCTTTGAACCATTAATGAGTTTTTCAATTTCCCACCTTTTCTTTGATTTTGATAAAATAATTATGGTTTCGACAGATGTTGAGAATTTTGAAATCCATTTTAATATTTCTAAGATAAGACCTGTTTGACCAGTCACTAAAACAGTTTTACCTAAACTTTCATGGTTGATTTTATAATCTGGTTTTAAAAAGTTGTAGTCTTGATTATTATTTTCTAAAAGTGGAGTTAAAACATCACTATCCATTTTAACTGAGATTTTACCAATAAGTTTTCTCTCGTTCATAAATTCGATTGCTTCTTTGATATTATTAGCTGAAAATACATTAATTGGTATAAGTTCTAAACCTTGGGTTGAAAAACCATAATATAATTTCTTTAAAAGCATTCTATATAATTCATTATGTAGTTTTGATATCTCCACAGCATGGTAACCAATATTGTATTTGAATTTGTTAAAATCGGTGTATTCGTGTGGATTTAAATGTGTTACCGAAACATCTACAATTCTACCACCTTTTGATAAACATTTAAAGTTTGCATCCATAAATTCATTTGAAAATGTGTTTAAAATTAAATCTACACCATCTTTTTGAGAGCCAAGTTGTTTTAGTTTCTGTTTGATTTCTTTTACATAATTAATATTTCTTGTGGAGTATATACCTGTAATTAATGATCCATAGTGTTCTCTTAGATATTCTTCTTTTTCTTTTGAACCAACAGTAACAAACAAGTGTGATTTAAATCCTTTCCATTTTAAAATATTGAGTGCAGATAAACCGACACCACCTGTACCAGTATGTATTAAAACACTTTCTTTTTCTTCAATATTTAAATTACCAATATAAAAAAGAGAGTAAAGAGAGGTCATGTAAACAATAGGTATGGTTGAAGCTTCAACAAAACTAATATTGTTTGGTTTGATGAAAATATTATTTTTGTGAGGATAAATATGAGTAGAGGCTGCACATGTTGAAATGCCGAATACTTGATCACCAATTTTATATTCGGTAACATTATCACCAATTCTTGTAATAATTCCTGAAAACTCGAAACCAAATTCTGGATCACCAATATCTCCTTTTGAATTAATAAGTTCTGCTGGAACTAAACCACGATAAATTAAGTTATCTTTGAAATTAATACCAATTGCTTCAGTTTTAACCTCTACATAGTCCGGGTTTAGTACTTTTTTTGGGGCTAATTTGTATTGAAGATTTGGATCAAGTTTTGCTAATAATCCATTGTTTTTTTGATACGATGTTGATTTAAATTTGGTTTTTAAATTTGATTCTTTTTTAATTCTTTCAAAGTATGGAATGTTTTTTCTAATTAAATATTCAGAATGTTGATATGTGCTTGTTAAACATTCAATATTTTCAATTACATTGTTTGAAAGTAATGATTCATTATCAAAGTCAATTGAAAATAGTCTGAGATCAATAAATTCTTCGAAATAACGTCTTGCACCGATTACAGCTGAACATGTATAGTTGAGTGCTTCTTTTTGGCAATATGTAGAAATTATTATGTGTTTTGTTGATAGTTTATTTTTTAATAGATGTTGATTAATATTAACATAGTCCAATGTAACTCTGGCAATATCATTTTGATTTTTAATTTGATTAATGGTTGTAATGAAATAAATTAATGAGTTATCTGTGATTTCTGACGAGTGTAAATTAAATTCATCTATATTTGAAACAACTAACACTTTATTATAATATGATTTTTGAAGAATGTTAATAAACTTATTTGATTCAGATGAACCACTTTCACCAAAAATAAAAATATTATCATATATTGGAATTGAGTTATTATTTGATAAAACTGATGGTTTTTGTGAAATTGTAATT